TGGATTGGATAGCCTTTGAATGTCTCTCCCACCTTACGATTCTGTTGTTGTTGTTGTTGTTAAGCAGAGGCTGAGTGGCCATTTGCGGGGGTTTTGATTGTGCTTTTCCTGCAGGAAAACAGAAGGGGGTTGGACTGGATGGCCTTTGGAGGTCTTTTGCAAGTCTAGGATCCTATTATTATTAAATCACTGTGAATTCCTCCCAACCCCCCCCCCCCCCCGCCAGTATTTTCTGTTGGTCATTGAGGTTCTTTTTGCCAAATCTGGTCCAGATCTGTCATTCATTTGGGGGGAGGGGGGATGGCAGTGATCTGTGGAAGACAGAGCTGTATCGGTTGAAAGTATTGCAAATCCCATCATCCATTGTCCATACTCCCCAAACATATTGTTTTTGTGATTAATCACTATGCTTTAATTATGTTCAATTTGTAACAATGAAAATACATCCTGCATATCAGATATTTACCTTATGAGTTATAACAGTAGCAAAAATTACAATTATGAAGTAGCAACAAAAATAATTTTATGGTTGGGGGTCACCACAACGTGAGGAACTGTATTAAGGGGTCGCGGCATTAAAAAGGTTGAGAACCACTGTTCTAGACCATGGCCATATAGCCCCAAAAAACCTACAAGAACCCAGTGATTCCGGCCATGGAAGCCTTCGACAATAATATGTTTTCTTGCAATTATATGTTTTATTTTATTTTATTTTTTGTCATGTCAGGAGCGACTTGAGAAACTGCAAGTCGCTTCTGGTGTGAGAGAATTGGTTGTCTGCAAGGACGTTGCCCAGGGGACGCCTGGATGATCTGATGGTGGTGCAGTGGGTTAAACCCCTGTGCCAGCAGGACTGAAGACCGACAGGTCACAGGTTTGAATCCAGGGAGAGGCGGATGAGCTCCCTCTATCAGCTCCAGCTCCTCATGCGAAGGGGACATGAGAGAAGCCCAATTGTTTTATAATTTGATATGTTATATTTATTATTTGCTGTATGATGCGGCATTGAAGGTTGCCATAATGTGTAAGCTGCTCTGAGTCCCCTTCAGGGTTGGGAAGAGTGGGGTATAAATATAGTCAATTAATAAATGAATAAAAGAAATCATACGGCAAAGGGGAGGGGGCATGGAGCCCCCAGCCACACAATGGGTTAATCCCTTGTGCCAACAGGACTGCTGACCAAAAAGTCGGCAGTTCAAATCTGGGGAGTGGGGTGAGCTCCCTTCTGTCAGCTCCAGCTTCTCGTGCAGGGCCATGAGAGAAGCCTCCCAGTAGGATGGCAAAACAAACATCTGGGTATCCCCTGGGCAATGTCTTTGAGGACGGCCTGTATATAGATCTTGGCCTATAAAGGGTTAGGCTTAGCCGCCTTGAGTCTCCTTTGGGGAGATGGTGCTGGGTTATGAATAAAGATTATTATTATTATTGGGTTGTTGTAGGTTTTTTCGGGCTATATGGCCATGGTCTAGAGGCATTCTCTCCTGACGTTTCCCCTGCATCTATGGCAAGCATCCTCAGAGGTAGTGAGGTCTGTTGGAAATAGGAAAATTGGAATGACCAGGGTGGGACAAAGGACTCTTGTCTGCTGGAGCTAGGGGGGGTGAATGTTTCAACTGACCACCTTGACTAGCATACAATGACCTGTATTATTATTATTATTATTGTTTGAAACAGAAGAAGATGAGTCCATAGCAGACAAGATCACTCTGCTGGTTGTTGCATTGGATCACATGTCGGATCCTTCCCAAGTGTCTCAGACTGTCAGGTATTGGCGAATGATGGGTGCAGATCCCAGTAAGGTGGCCTTCTGTAGCTGGTAATTCTGTCAGCGCTGATTGTGTTTAAGTGCAGGCCAAGGTCGAGGCACTGCTCCCAGTGTGCCCATCACCACAGGGACCACCTTGACTGACGTTGTTGTTGTTGTTGTTATGAAGGATAGACCACAGCTGGAATATTGTGTCCAATTCTGGGCACCACAATTCAAGAGAGATATGGACAAGCTGGAATGTGTCCAGAGGAAGGCAACTAAATTGATCAAGGTCTGGAGAACAAGCCCTATGAGGAGCGGCTTAAGGAGCTGGGCATGTTTAGCCTGAAGAAGAGAAGGATGAGAGGAGATATGATAGCCATGTATAAATATGTGAGAGGAAGCCACAGGGAGGAGGAGGGAACAGATCAAGGGTCTGGAGAACAAGCCCTAAGAGGCTTAAGGAGCTGGGCATGTTTAGCCTGAAGAAGAGAAGGCTGAGAGGAGACATGATGAGGGCCATGTATAAATATGTGAGAGGAAACCACAGGGAGGAGGAGGGAGCAAGCTTCCTTTCTGCTTCCTTGGAGACTAGGACGCAATGGAACAGATTCCATCTGAACATGAGGAAGAATTCCTGACTGTGAGAGCCGTTCAGCAGTGGAACTCTCTGCCCCGGAGTGTGGTGGAGGCTCCTTCTTTGGAAGCTTTTAAACTGGGGCTGGGTGGCCATGTGTCGGGGTTGATTTGAATGCAATATTCCTACAACAGAAGAGGTCAGTTGAAAAATGTCCACCTAGCTCCAGCAGACAAGAGTCCTTTGTCCCACCCTGGTCATTCCACAGATATATAAACCCAATTTTCCTAGTTCCAACAGACCTCACTACCTCTGAGGATGCTTGCCATAGATGCAGGCGAAACGTCAGGAGAGAATGCCTCTAGACCATGGCCATATAGCCCGAAAAAACCTACACAACCCAATAATTTCATTTACCTAGGAGACTAGGATGCAAAGGAACAATGGCTTCAAACTACAAGAGGAGATTCCATCTGAACATGAGGAAGAACTTCCTGACTGTGAGAGCCGTTCAGCAGTGGAACTCTCTGCCCCAGAGTGTGGTGGAGGCTCCTTCTTTGGAGGTTTATAAACAGAGGCTAGATGGCATCTGTCAGGGGTGCTTTGAATGCAATATTCCTGCTTCTTGGCAGAAGGGGGTTGGACTGGATGATGGCCCAGGAGGTCTCTTCCAACTCTTTGGTTCTATGAGGCTGGATGGCCATCTGTCAGGGGTGCTTTGAATGCAATATTCCTGCTTCTTGGCAGAATGGGGTTGGACTGGATGATGGCCCAGGAGGTCTCTTCCAACTCTTTGATTCTATGAGGCTGGATGGCCATCTGTCAGGGGTGATTTGAATGCAACATTCCTGCTTCTTGGCAGAATGGGGTTGGGCTGGATGATGGCCCACCAGGTCTCTTCCAACTCTTTGATTCTATGAGGCTGGATGGCCATCTGTCAGGGGTGATTTGAATGCAACATTCCTGCTTCTTGGCAGAATGGGGTTGGACTGGATGGCCCAGGAGGTCTCTTCCAACTCTTTGATTCTATGATTCTATGATTCATTGGGGCTCCGTGGCAGTTGCTGTGAGGTTGAATTTTATTGACATCTAGCTGGAGGTCGGCTGTGACCAGCAGTGCTGTGGAATTCAAAGAGGTAACAATAGAGGGCGGAAGGGAGAAACGGGCCAAGATGAATGAGGCAACTCTGAGTGGGGCTGCCTTCCACCTGGAAACGGATGGAAGAGAATGGGTCTCCACAGCCACCTGTGGACCCCCCACCAAGGCACCACTTGTCTCAGTGAGTGAGTAAACAGTGGGCGGAGGGAGCCTTTCCTCACAGCCTGTCCATCAAAGCCGGAGGGCGGGACTAGCCAATGGGGGCTTCTGGTGGGCGGGTGAGGCTCCACCAAGAAGTCACGCCTCCTCCTTCGCCGGACTTCGCCCTCCCATTGCATGAGCCCGTCCGGGCTCAGCAACGGAGGGCGAAGTCCGCTGAAGGAGGGAGGGGGAGGCGCGGCTTTCTGGTGGGGCCCAGCCAGAGGCCTCCCCGCGCCATTTGTTTAGTTTGTGAAGCGGGGAAGCACGGCGCTGATGGGAACGCGTAGGCCTCTCCTCTGCCTCTGGCCTGCTTCCCTCCTCCGCCGGGGTGTTCGAGATCCCCCCCCCTTCATCGCACACCTATCCCTCATTCACCAGGGCCTCGGGCCCTCCCTTTTTTACTCTGGAGGCGGGAGGGGCCCGACCGCGAGGATGCCGGGAGTGGAGCCAAATGGTTGGAGTTATACGAGTAGAATCATAGAAGAGGGGAAGAGACCTCATGGGCCATCATCCAGTCCAACCCCATTCTGCCAAGAAGCAGGAATATTGCATTCAGACCACCCCTGACAGATTTCAACTCATAGAATCCTAGAGTTGGAAGAGACCTCCTGGGCCATCATCCAGTCCAACCCCATTCTGCCAAGAAGCAGGAATATTGCATTCAAATCACCCCTGACAGATGGCCATCCAGCCTCATAGAATCCTAGAGTTGGAAGAGACCTCCTGGGCCATCATCCAGTCCAACCCCATTCTGCCAAGAAGCAGGAATATTGCATTCAAAGCACCCCTGACAGATGGCCATCCAGCCTCATAGAATCCAGAGTTGGAAGAGACCTCCTGGGCCATCATCCAGTCCAACCCCATTCTGCCAAGAAGCAGGAATATTGCATTCAAAGCACCCCTGACAGATGGCCATCCAGCCTCTGTTTAAGAGCCTCCAAAGAAGGAGCCTCCACCACACTCCCTCCGGGGCAGAGAGTTCCACTGCTGAACGGCTCTCACAGCCAGGAAGTTCTTCCTCATGTTCTGGTGGAATCTCCTCTCCTGTAGTTTGAAGCCATTGTTTCGTGTCCTAGTCTCCAGGGAAGCAGAGAGAAAGCTTGCTCCTTCCTCCTCCCTGTGGCTTCCTCTCACATATGTATACATGGCTACCATATCTCCTCTCAGCCTTCTCTTCTTCAGGCTAAACATGCCCAGCTCCTTAAGCCGCTCCTCATACGGCTTTTTCTCCAGACCCTCCTCTGGACACATTCCAGCTTGTCAATATTTCTCTTCAATTCTGGTGCCCAGAATTGGACACGACGTTCCAGGTGTGGTCTAACCAAAGCGGAATAGAGCATGGGGAGCAGGACTTCCCTAGATCTAGACACTAGGCTCCTATTGATGCAGGCCATAATCCCATTGGCTTTTTTTGCCACCACATCACATTCCTGGCTCATGTTTAACTCCTTCCTTTGGCCAGGGATGTATAAATCTGCCTCTGGTTTGCGTCTTGAGCTGCCTTTGCTGAGTACATTCTAATCTGGGGACTCAATGAATTGCCAGGCAGAATCCTCAAATTACTGCCTTGCAGCTCTTCTGCTGTGAAAAGCACTGCAGGCTAACTCAACCAGAGAAGTCAGAAAGAGGAGCTCCTTCCACCCAGCTGGCTCTTTGGCCTGCCTTCTGGGCCACACCGCCAGAGCTCCCGCCTGAGGCCTGCTCTGACCCACAGCAACTCAGCCCACTAGTTCTATAAAAGAACTCCTGCTTTCCTGCTTCTTGGCAGAACAGGGCTGGACTGGATGGCCCACCAGGTCTCTTCCCACTCAAGGGTTCTGTGATTGTTCTCTTCTGTTAATGTGTTTTGTGTTGTGCATTGTTTTGTCATCAACCCCCTGCAGCCTTATTAGATGGATACGGGTCACTCTGGAACTGGCACACAACCGGCCGTGACTGAGAGAGCTGTCCAAAGGTCTTGGGAGGGCTACCAGGACCATCTATCTGGCTACCAGGCAGCCCCCAGGTGGGAGCAAGTAATCAGCCTGATCGAAAGGTGTGTCAAGTGTTGTTGGATTAACGTCTAACCATTTGTCTCATGTTTGGGTTGTTGTAGGTTTTTTCGGGCTATATGGCCATGTTCTAGAGGCATTCTCTCCTGACATTTCGCCTGCATCTATGGCAAGCATCCCCAGAGGTAGTGAGGTCTCATAACCTCTGAGGATGCTTGCCATAGATGTAGGTGAAACATCAGGAGAGAATGCTTCTAGCCCGCTGGTGGGCCCGCTCTGACCCACACCAGTAGTTGCCATCTGCTCACCCACAGAAAACCATATTTGATAATCTGAATAATAAATATTAAGTAATAATTCAATACTTTCCATAAGAAAGTAAAAACGTTAGGTTTTTTTAATCAAACCTTTGGAGATCTTGTGCAATAGATAAATATGGAATTACATGCAATGACTATCGGAACGGCCCAGTCTATGACTTTGGATGATGTGGTTAACACTGAAGGCATTGATTTATATGTTTTAATGTATTTTATAATTCTGTTTAAATACTTTTAATTGTAAATTGTTTTTGAAGGCATTGAATAATTTCCCAAGTGTAAGCCTCCTTGATCCCCCCCCCCCCCCCCCCCCCCCCCCCCCCCCCCCGGCCAGGTGGAGAAAGGCGGGGTAGAAATGTCATAAATAAATAAATCTAGGCCTGATGTGGTCTATCCAATGCAATTTTCTGAACCAGCACCCCAAATAAGCCCAGGAACAGGCCTAAAAACGAAGGACGAGGACAAACAGAAGCCAGGAGGCTTGTGGTTGCACCAGCCTTTCTCCCCCCAACATCCCCGTTGTCTCAGCACTATACGACACCAGTCGCTCTCGTTGCAACGGTGTAGTAACTGTGAGGCCGCGGACCATATTTTAGTTCTTGGGGACCGCTGTTGGTCTACGGACCACAGGTTGGGAACCACTGTGATAGAGGAAGGAAGGAAACGGGCTTAATACCCATCTTACCTTCCAGTCACCTGGTCTCGTCAACCTGTGACCCTTGGGTGTTTTGGACTTCAACTCCCAGAATTCCTTTCCAGTGAACAAGCTGGAAAGAGGGGCTTCTGAGAGTTGGAGGCTCAAACACCTGGAGGGCCACAGGTTGAAGAGGCCTGCCTTCGAGCGTCCTATGGCTGGTCTCACCGTAGACCAGGGGTCCTCAAACGTTTTGAACAGAGGGCCAGGTCACAGTCCCTCAAATTGTTGGAGGACTGGATTATAATTTGAAAAAAACATGAATGAATTCCTATGCACACTGCACATATCTTATTTGTAGTGCAAAACCCACTTAAAAACAGTACAATAATTAAAATGAAGAACAATTTCAACAAATATAAACCTATTAGTATTTCAATGGGAAGTGTGGGCCTGCTTTTGGCTGATGAGATAGGATTGTTGTTGTTGTTGTGTGCTTTCAAGTCATTACGGACTTAGGTTGACCATTAGCGAGGGCTGGGTAAATGACCTTGGAGGGCCGCATCCAGCCCCGGGCCTTAGTTTGAGGACCCCTGCCATAGACGATTCTCTTGAATCAATGGTCAGTAAATAGAATCAAAATCTAACCAGGGCCATTGACACAATTGCTCCCAAGCGTCCTCTCCAACCCGTTGCATATCAGGCTCCCTAGGAAATGAAGTGGGAAGGATGACAACTAGAGCACAGTTGGCGGACAGTGCAGCAAGACATGATATAGAGGACATTTCCGTTCCTGTAAGGTTGCAATGCACCAGCAAATCGACCCTTTTTCTCGACACATATTGCCTCAGTGTATTCACGTCCAGCTGAGTTATGCATAATAGGGAGAGGTTAAACTCGGGCGCCTCCCTGCGCTCTGAATCCATCATTAGAACCTTCAGTCAGTCACTGTCATGCCTTTAATAACCATTTTGCAGATAACATCACATCGGAACAGAAGCCGCCAAGGAGGGCCCAGCAACCGTGAGTGGGATTCCACCGGATCCCTTTCAGTTGGTGAGTACTGCTGATGTGGACAAGCCGAAGGGGCAAGGAGTGAGAATCAGCTGCTTTCTGTACAAACAAATAAAAGTACTAATTTTTATTCAGTATGCCATCATTGTCAGACTGTAGGATCTATGCAGCAATATTAAATAACCACTCACAAGCCGTTTTTGCTTTGAAATGGATATATTGCTTGTATCTCTTCAGCAAAGACAGACCCTACTGACTTTTTCCCACCACCACTTCCTTTTATACACCTTTCCTGCCCATCTCCCCCTCTCCTCAGTTCACTTATTAGAGCTTGTTGCTTCACAAATTCCAATACAAGGCTTCCAGCGCCTTCTGCCAGCTTCAGAATGTCACAGAGAGAGAACTGATTCAGCCAGGATGATTCAGTCAGGATGTCACAGAGGGAATTTGTGGTGTCTTCATGCCGTCAGAAATTGACTCCTGACAATCATACAAACAAAGGCATAGATTAACCGCTGTGAGTCGCCTAAGGGCTGAGAACAGCGGTATACAAATAAATAAATAGATATCATAGTCCTTTTACCTTCAAGTTGTTGATGTTGTTGCTGTTGCTAGGCAAAAAAAAAAAAATCTAGTTCAGGTCTCTTTCTGTTTATTTGTCCTGGGGAAATTCCTTCCATGTGACTTCAAGGAAAAGCAGAACAGCATTAACCCTTTGATGGGTGTGGATACTTTTAGGTATTGCAAGCAACCCACCCTATGAAATTTATTATCTGGCATTTCTTAAAAGACTTGAAATTTTCTGAAGTCCATTAATTCTCTGGGAGAGTTGACCACAGCCTTTCTAGTTGCATTCCATTTAGTTCCAGACCAGAGATTTAGAAAAACTCACATTCCTGAGAGCAGGAGCAGAACCCCATCCAGAGGGGAATCTCAGAGGTACTAACTCCTTAAAAATGTTATTTGAAAAGGCATTTGGGTGTGTCTTTTTGCTGTGAATTACCGGGATGGGTGTTTTCTCCAACCTAGGCATGGGCAAACATCGGCCCTCCCTTTGGGTGCTTTGGACTTTGGCTCCCACCATTCCTCCCAGCCCCAGGCCCCTTTCTTTCCCTCCCCCCCCCCCTCCAGCCGCTTAAGTAGAAGAAAAGGAAAAGGCCTGAGGTTGTGAGGAATGGTGGGAGTTGAAGTCCAGAACACGCAGAGGGAGGGCTGAAGGTTGCTCGTGCCTGCTCTAACCCCTAATTCAAACTTTTTACACAGAGCCAGACTAAAGGTGATTGTTGTTGTTGTGCCATGTCCATTCAAGTCATTTCAGACTCGTCCAGTGTAATCTCACTCACACAGTTACCATATGACCTCTATTGCCACTCCAGGTTCTATATACATTAAATTAAAAGCAAATAATAAAAAGAAAAAGAGACATCCAAAAACAAAGGGCAGATGAGGCATTAATGCAACAACATTTTAATGCGTAGTTGGAAAACAGTCATGCTCAGGGTGTGGGTACTGCTGGCCCCAGGCAGAAGTAATAATCTATATAAATGAAAATGTTCGTTTGTGGAATTAACAGAACTCAAAAACCACTGGACGAATTGACACCAACATTGGCAGCAAAACACATCCTAATCCGATCTATGTTTTTCAAACAATAAAAACTGTAAAAAATGAAGGGGAAATCACTTAAAACTCCCCAAAAAAAGAAAAATGCCTTACAGAGCATGCGTAAAAGCTCCTCTCCCCATTGCGCGAGAAGAATGACGCACCAACTGTTGTGAGGGAAGAGAAGCCTCGCCATGGAGTCCCTTCCCATGCAGGAAAGCAGAGTCCGTTTTCTTTTGGGGAGGGGAGGGGTTGAGGAAAGGAAAGAGGGAAGGAGAAGGCCTGGCCGAATGGAGGGGTGGAGGCTTGGCGAGGCAAGCCCCGGCAGCAGCTGGAGCCACCGCAGTGGCTCCATGAGGCCCACGTGGCTACCAGGCAACTCTTCCCTCAAGACCAGAGGATTGCAAGACAAGCCTGGCTGCAGGAGCAGCTGCACACCTCCCCCCTACCCCAGTTGGGTGAAGGGAAGGCAGCAACTCTCCCACTGGGCTCCACCCCCTTCACCCCCCCCCCCAAAAAAAAACCCTTAAAAAACCCTTACAAACTGTCTGGAGGAAGGAGGGGAAAGAAAGGAAAAGGAGAGAAGAAAGGAAGAAAAGGATTGGTGAATGGAAGGAAAGATAGAAGGAAAGGAAGGAAGGAAGGAGGCAGGGATGGGAGAGGAAAGGAAGGAAGGAAGGAAGGAAGGAAGGAAGGAAGGAAGGAAGGAAGGAAGGAAGGAAGGAAGGAAGGAGGAAACTGATGAAGGGAAGAGAAGAATATAGAATCAGCCCTGGAGTTGGAAGAGACCTGGTGGGCCATCCAGGCCAACCCCATTCTGTGCAGAAGCAGGAAAATCACATTCAAAGCACCCCCAACAGATGGCCACCCAGCCTCTGTTTCAAAGACGCTTTTTTGAATGTTCTGGCCAGTATGAATATAACTGAAAAGCCTTGCAATTTCAGTGGCTGCTTCTCATTACTTTATTTCCCATACCACCTTGCACCTTAACAGCCTGGCTTCTACTAGCCAGCAGGAAAACTTTGGTGGGAGGAGTTCCCTAGCCCAGATTGCTTCAGGTCTGCAAATCCTGTTTTCTGAGAGACACAGCAATACGTGGTCGGGTACAGCTAGTAAGAGAATCATAGAATCCAAAGGAGGAGCCTCTATTACACTCCGGGGAAGGCAGAGAGTTCCACTGCTGAACGGCTCTCACAGTCAGGAAGTTCTTCCTCATGTTCAGGTGGAATCTCCTCTCTTGTAGTTTGAAGCCATTGTTCTGTGTCCTAGTCTCCAGGGAAGCAGAAAACAAGCTTGCTCCCTCCTCCCTATGACTTCCTCTCACATATTTTACATGGCTATCATGTCTTCTCTCAGCCTTCTCTTCTTCAGGCTAAACATGCCCAGCTCTTTAAGCTGCTCTTCATAGGGCTTGTTCTCCAGACCCTTGATCATTTTAGTCCCTCCTCTGGACACATTCCAGCTTGTCAATATCTCTCTTCAATGTGGTGCCCAGAATTGGACACAATATTTATAATAATAATAATAATAATACTATAGAGCAGTGGTTCTCAACCTGGGTCCCCAGATGTTTTTGGCCTTCAACTCCCAGAAATCCTAACAGCTGGTAAACTGGCTGGGATTTATAGGAGTTGTAGGCCAAAATACCTGGGGACCCACAGGTTGAGCACCACTAAAACTTTATATTTATTTATTTATTTACCCTATTTATGCCCCGCCTTTCTCTATCCTGAAGGGGACTCAGGGCGGCTTACAACAGAGGCAATTATTCAATACCATAAACATGCAATTCCAAAATTAAAATTAGAGATAAAAGATTAAGTTAAACTTAATCCTAGAATCCTAGAGTTGGAAGAGACCTCATGGGCCATCATCCAGTCCAACCCCATTCTGCCAAGAAGCAGGAATATTGCATTCAAATCACCCCTGACAGATGGCCATCCAGCCTCATAGAATCCTAGAGTTGGAAGAGACCTCCTGGGCCCATCCAGTCCAACCCCATTCTGCCAAGAAGCAGGAATATTGCATTCAAAGCACCCCTGACAGATGGCCATCCAGCCTCTGTTTAAAACCTTCCAAAGAAGGAGCCTCCACCATATTGAAATATAATTAATTTTATATAATTTGAACATGAGGAAGAACTTCCTGACTGTGAGAGCCGTTCAGCAGTGGAACTCTCTGCCCCGGAATGTGGTGGAGGCTCCTTCTTTGGAAGCTTTTAAAAAGAGGCTGGATGGCCATCTGTCAGGGGTGATTTGAATGCAATATTCCTGCTTCTTGGCAGAATGGGGTTGGACTGGATGGCCCAGGAGGTCTCTTCCAACTCTTGGATTCTATGATTCTATGATTCTAGGTGGGATGAGAGCCGTTCAGCAGTGGAACTTTCTGCCCCAGAGTGTGGTGGAGGCTCCTTCTTTGGAAGCTTTTAAACAGAGGCTGGATGGCCATCTGTCAGGGGTGATTTGAATGCAATATTCCTGCTTCTTGGCAGAATGGGGTTGGACTGGATGGCCGATGAGGTCTCTTCCAACTCTTTGATTCTATGATTCTAGGCTGATAGAGAAAAGGTGGCGCTGATCACAGCCTTTTTGTGGCTCGAGTTCTCTTTCCTTTTTGAGAAGCATTTTTACCCTCCCACCTTTCTTTTTTCCCCCTTGCATAGGAACCTCAGAACCCAGTCTTTTTATTTTGGGCTCCTTTTTGGCCAGTTTTGAGATTTCAGTTTTGGATTTTCTGGATTTTTGCGTCCTTTGGATCTCTTTAAGAGAGATGGAGCACAGAGATGGACTTTATGCTTTCCAAGAAGGACTGGATGGTGAGAATTTCCTTTATTGGTATGACAAGATGCTTATTTTTTTGAACGCCGAAGGAGTGATGGAATGTTTGGAGAGACCATGTCCCACGCAGGGAGAGACTGAAATCGAAAACTGGAAGAAGAAGGATGCTTTAGGCCAAAGTTTGATAGTCTCAACGTTGAGGCTCAAGCAAATGCTTTATGTGAAAGAATGCCAAACAACCAAGGAAATGTTAGAGGCTCTTAGGAAGCGATACGGGTACAGCTCGATCAGTCTTGTGAAACAGCTTATGCAATTGCGGCTAGATAACAAGAGAGATTGTGCACAACATATCGACAGATTGACTGAACTTCTTGATCAGCTTCGGATGGATGGATTGGTTTTGGGTGAATGCCATAAAGTTGGTTTTCTACTGGGATCTCTCGGCGATTGTTTTGACACTTTTAAATTAATAATAGAAACTTCTGAGGAAATCTCTTTTGAAACAACTGTGGCCAAACTTAGAGACCATTGTGTAGATATACATGGATCTTCACGGAGTGAGACATGGAGGTCCACGGAATCCAGATACATGGCAACTGATGGCCAGAGTCACAAGGGTGGAGCCTCGAAGCGTGGTGGCCCCCACGGGCGTGTCTGTTTTAA